CACACACACACACACACACACACACACACACACACACACACACACACACGGTCAATGAGAGGCTGAGTGATGAGGGAGGGAGGCAGGTTTAAGGAAACGTAATAAGAGAATTTATTGATCCCTGGAGTCAGAGGCCAGCGCTCAGCGGGCCTGGAGACGGAGGAGATACGTGTGTTGCTAAAGGGCACTTCAGAGAGGTGGACACAGACCGACACAAATGGGCAATTGGACTTTTTTTGGCAGAATTAAATCAGATTTTATACTTTTGCATCATTAGCATTCAAGGGCAAACTTGAGGCGGATAATTAAAGCCAAAAAAGTGTGTCACCAGTAGCTCTAAAAGCCACCGGTAGTGCGTGGTTCTTCACTTCATGCAGTGAACTGTGGGTTTTCAGCTCACTATGGTTCCTCTGCTGTGGAGAGAAATATTTACACAATCCAACCTTACAGAGCTACAAAGATGAGGGAGACCTGTTAAAGTGAGGTTTCCTTCCTAAGCTTTTCTTTCTTGTTGTTACTATTAATTGAATTAATAAAGTTCTCACATAATGAGAGAAAAGGGTACCTGAAAGTTAATTATTGAGGGACATTAAGGCCCGCCATGTCTCCTAACCCGCATTAATCTATAAAGAGTATCATTACTGTCATCACATAATTAAAACAATATCCTCCGCCTGGATTTAATATGCAATTTAAGATCCCCCCCCCCCCACCACCATCGATCATGTGTATGTGTATGTGTGTGTGTGTGTGTGTGTGTGTGTGTGTGTGTGTTTACCTGCATTGGTGTTGGTGGTGTTGGAGCCCTGCAGGAGCACAGTCAGCGTCTCCATCACCAGCCAGGCCAACTGCTTCTGCTCCTCTGCTACGGTGTTGTTTTTACAGTCGGCTGGAGAGAAGAGAGGTTCAGGAGCATGAGACGACATCATCATGACGGCATTAAACCACACGAAGGTGAAGAAAGGCCGATTTTAGACATCATTTTTGGTTTAATCTGTTCAGATTAGTGCATTTCAGGTCAAGGCCTGTAGATTGTTGTTTTTACGGTGTATTCTTCCAAATTTGTCTTTTCTCGTGGTGTCAGTCTTTACTGGATGTTGTTGATTTGACTGAAGATATAAGACTGATTTGTGTATTTGTCCTTTGCACAACCAACTATTAATTCAAATTAAGATAATTCCAACCCGAGTGAATAATGTTAAAGAGCCTTAAACACCTTCAAAAAAGCCTTCAGTGGTGCAGCCCTGTAACAGTCCCCTTAAAACCCCCTCACCTTGGTCATTGTTGTGTGGTTGCTGCTGCGTGGCCGGGTCCTTGAGCAAGGCGGCGTACTTGTGCAGCAGGTTGACCAGCACCTCCAGCAGGCCGACCTCCCGCAGCACGTCGCTGAACACGGCGTCGTGCCTGGAGAGCTTCAGCAGCGTCCGGACGGCCGTGATGCTGCAGGCGTGCGACGTGCTGGACTTCAGCAGCACGCTGACGCTGAACAGCTCTTTGCACGGCACGTAGTTCAGGCTGAACACGACGAACTCCAGCAGCTCAAAGTACTTGGTCTGGGCCTCGGGGAGCTTGGCCACTCGCTCGGCGAACTGCGACAGGGTGTGCTGCGACTCCAGGACGAAGTAGTTGGCCGGCTCGGCGGAGTAGATGTTTCCGATGGCGTCCAGCAGCATGGAGGCCAGGCGGCTGGTTTTAGTCCGCAGGAAGGCATTCTGTAGCACCGAGAAGGCCTGGATGTTACGCACTGTGTGGCCTGGAAGAGGAAAGGCAAAGGTACTTGGTATTATTACAAAACTAATATGCCTCAAATTCAGCATTTTTCTTGGTTTTTGCAACCAGTGAACAGAAGCGAGCATTTTTCAACTGTGGAGGAGTCAATCACAAGTAGCCCCGCCCTAAAGCATCCCCTGCTTTATGGTCTGTTTGACTCTAAATGGACCATAATGTACTAAATGAACATCATGCTGTGTTGAAGAAGACTTGAAACTAGAGATTGAGACCATAAACTCATGTTTACAATGTTTACTGAGGTAATAAATCAAGAGAGAAGTAGAGTCATTTTCTCATAGACTTCTATACAACCAGAGGAGTCGCCCCCTGGTGGACACTAGAGAGAATGCAAGTTCAAGACATGAAGCTTTGGCTTCACTTTTCATAACCGGAGATTGTCGCCTGATAATCACTTCAGATTTTCCTGAATGACTCTAAATACTAAGATAGAGTTTTTAAATAAAGGACTTCTGTCCTTATCCTGAAATCTGATATTTTAAACATCGGAGTTTATCACTCCACAAGACTGGTCTAACTTGCAGTGGAAGCCTTCAACACTATCCTTTATCTTTTTCATACATTATTGTTCTTTAATGGCAAAAGTATGCAGTTTGCTTCGTCAACTTGGTTTTTGAGTAATACAACATTTTGGGAGAAAAACCTTATTTCATGTAAAAATTCCCTTCAGCTCTGTAAAATAAAAGTTTTGTGAAAAAACTGCAGAGAATCACAGAAAATGTTTCAGGTGGTCGAGTGAACTTAACTAAGGATGGAAAGAGAGAAAGTTATCTGTGACCTACACACACAATCTGACCATCTTGGGGGTTGAATATCTAACACATACCACAAACCATGACTCACACACACACACACACACACACACACACACACAAAGTGACACTGACATGTGTCACCACACACACACACACACACACACACACACACACACACACACACACGTTAAGTGAATGTGGTGGGCTAATTAGGCGAGTAAGCGGACCCTCGCACCATGATGGCTTCTGGTAATGACTTTGCACACAGCCGGAGCTGTCATTAGGGGGGTAAACACGAGTCTGTGTGCGCGTGTGGTACAACAGGCAGCAGAGCTCGGCTGTGTGAGGTGTTCTGTGACTGTGTGTGTTGTCGTGAGGGAGCCGAGGTGACAGGCGTCTTAAAGTGTTCAAATCTGACACAAGAAAATATTTCGTCATGTGCGTTTCCCCAAAACAAAGTCAGAGTTAAGCCTAACCAGGCCAAAGAACATTTGTTGGCTTGAAATAAATACGCAGACTAATAAATGAAGGAGTGAAAGTGAAGAGAAGCATTTAATCTTTTGTTTAATTTTATGTCACATTGTATTTTCCCCACTGCCTCTGATTACCATATTATAATATATTAAAGGCCCTCATTAACATAATAATAATGGCATTAAGGCTGCAACTCAGGATTATTTTCTTTATCAGTTAATCGTTCATGTTTATGCCTAAAGGGATTATAGTTCATTGTAATTCTATAAGAACCATTTCCCAAATAAAACTCCACAAAGCAGCGGCAATACTCACAATACACAAAAAAGATTAAAGTTTCAAAAGTGATCCCTCAAATAGGAATAGCTCAATAATTATAATGTCCTACAATGCACTGAAGTTTAAATTGTTTATTTATACAACAAGACGTCAAGATTTTGTTACTGAAGGGGCCAGAATAAAATAAATCCTTTTACATACAATGTATGTCTATTGGTATTGAATTTAACATGCGTTCTGCTTCAATGTAATGTTTCCTCATATTTTTAGATGTTATTTTTGTCATTTATTTAGTTTTATGTATAGACGAACTTTAAAAAACAACAACAAAAAGAGTGAAGGTCTAGAAGGCGACGGGTTCTCTGGAGGCAGGAGTAAACGTTTGGCTCCAGATGATCCTCTGAACCACTAAAGCCTCTCTGGACTCCAAAGAGCCCATTTGTATGCAGGAGGCTTCGGGCGTTCGTCTCAGGCAGTGTGACAGGCGGCATAGTTGCCATGGCGTCTGTCAACAGGTTAAGCCCACTGGAATCAGCCAAGCATCAAAGTCATTTCATGGATTAATGTCTGTGGGGGCGATGCTGAGGTACACATGAAGACTTTTTCTCCAAGTAATTCCTCTCGCTTTAAGGCTTCGGGGCGAAACAAAACCCTGGTTGGTGGGATTGTTTTGGATTTAAGAGGTGAGCCAGTAATCAGAAAATCTCTGGGTGGTTGTGAGAACATCTTTAGTTCCTTTAACAAATACTGTCAACATGTCCCTCAGTCGTTCAGATGATAACAATAAATGCAGGATTTAAGAAGTGAGAGGCATGGTTTATGATCCGACACCTCATCCTTTTCATTTACCCTGTTCTGATTTATCTAGAGATGGTTTCAAACAATGTCAACCAGCAGAATTTATTATTAACCTCTTCCACCCCCGGAGATCTGCACTCTACTAAGCACACTTTCTTAGTTATTTCTGGAACGAAACAACAGATGTCAAGTCTGCTTCAGTACTGGCCAATCAAAAGGACATGACGAGTGCATCAACATCTCTTTAACTCTAAACTCTGCTGCAAAGATAATGAAGGCAGCTGATGAATTACAGGATTAACTAGCCACAGTTGCCACCATGAACGCACCTTTCCCAGAAGGCAGCGGGAGAACAAAGCCGGGCAGCAGGAAGGGGGCTCCGGTGGTCAGTCCAGCGGGCTTCAGCTCCGTCACCCCGTATGTGGTCAGACAGGTGACCAGGTTGACCAGGTCCTTCAGGGCATCTTTCGATTCGTCCTCCTTGGCTTGTTCCAGTCTGGACACAAGACAGAGAAGCTCACATGAATGATCAGAAAACACTGCTCCCATGTCGGAAGACGTTGGCCGTGGGAATGGAGCTCTGAGTCGTACCTGAGCATGAGGTCGCACAGGAAGGCGTAGCCCTGGCACATTCGGAAGTCATCCAGCAGGGTCTGCGACACGTCGCTGGAGTCCTTGAGGAAGCAGGAGAGGCCGGCGAACATCTCCACGATCTCCAGCGGCGACAGGTCGTCCGACTGCTGCATGTTCTGAACACACGTGCCCAGACATTCCTTCTCTGGAGACAGAGCGGGACGAGGGAAAACAGAGTGAGACTGATGAGTGATGGAATGTATGGAAACGACTTTGTAGGAACAACTAGGCTGTGCTCTCTTGTATTCTTTATACTGAAGGGGGAATCGTGAAGAAGCCTGTGGAAAACAAGTGGTATGTGATGTGTCCAACAGACCAATGCTCTTTGACTAAACGGCACATTCAGAACACAATGAATAACATTTAAAGAATAAGCAGATTATTCTCTAGTGACAAAAATCATTGTATTTTTCAAATTGTGCAACCCCTCGAGAGGTTTACAAAGTTTAATCTTAAGTCTCTAACTACACTCCATTTCCTGATTTTGGGCTGGTAACGACATGAACACAGTCTGTCCCGACCACGACTGGACGAGACTTCCTGCACACTGAACATTGGTATTTACCGTGTATGTATTTGACCACGTTGACGCTGAGGCCGTGTCGGGAGATGGTGGTCAGCACCTCCCCCGCGCTCCTCCTCCAGGGCAGGTTGTGGGGGGGGCACCAGGAGGTGATGGCACTGAACAGCAGCTGGAGGTCGTCCTTCTGGGCCAGCTCCTCCGCCGGAGACACAAAGGTGCAGAGCTTCACCAGGATCTGAAGGAGTGGAAATTAATTATTCTTCTTCATCACAAATACAGTGAATCGGTAGCTGTGGCAGTAGCGACAAGAATAGAACATTTTCTATCTGTGGATCTTGTGTAGTCGTTGTCTTTCTACCTGGACGAAGACTTTCTGGAGCAGCACCCTGCGGTCGGCCAGGGGCAGCTCCTGCTGGGTGTGGCCCTGAACCGCCGTCTTCTCCTGGCCGGGCGGTGGTGGCGGCGGAGGCGGCGGTAACGGCTGCGGGGTGGGGCCTGCTGGGGCCTCGGCCATGTGAGGCAGGTCGAAGAACAGGTACAGGCATTTGACCAGCGTGGAGGGCACAGACATGGTCGTCATGCAGTCCACCGTTTTCTGGAGGGGGGGGGGGGGGGGGGACAAAACACATGGTAAATTATAGATATTATACTTTATTATAAATAACCATTCCTTTTCATAGAAGTGCTCAGAAAGACCTACAAAATAACTGAGGGGACCATCATTTTTAAACTATGCAGTATGCAAACCACATGCATCACGATTTAAATGGAAATTATATATTAAATAATTTTCCAGCCTTAACAGCAGAACATCTACTGAAGATGCGTCAGTTCTCAGTTCAAGTTTGGTAAATGGGTATTTTTGTTGCTGTGTTGTGATTCATGGTCGTGTTTCTGTGAGGATAAAAACGACAGGAGTAGCTGTGAGGGCTTCAAGTGGCTATGTGTGTGTGTGTGTGTCTCGTCACGGCGAGGAAAGGAAAACTGA